CGTGTCTTCAGGCCCCCACAGCTCTGGGTCGTAATGTATCGACCACACATCCGCCGCCACCACCAAACCTTTCTCAAGATGGAGTCCGTTCACGGTGCAGGACTCCACGCACTGACGGGCAATGATCCTGGAGAGGAAAATATTCAACATTTACAGCTAGCGCATTCGGAACAAGTTGATCCGCGGTCTCACAGATCCACGGATCAAATATGGCCGACTCACCTTAAAGGTAGCCGCTTATAATCCTCTAATGGTCTCCTCGCCTCCACTATAGAATCTAATCATTTTAACGTAAGCGGCGTAGTCTGGCCAGTGACAATTAAGGTGTTACGTAAAGCTCAGCTATTTTAATGCATTTAATATTATCATTCAACATGGTGGCAGCGGTGATACATGGGATACAACCGAAACCTACATCATATGGAGAAATGTGGGTCAACTACTTACTGTGGAGCAATGGGATGTAATCTTAACACTTCACATATCACCATGTCCATGTAGGTCAACTTCTGAATTGTGTCGTAGCTTATTTCAGTCTGAAATATATGTAGACATGTTTAAACAATGAAAAGATATCGGCCAAAGACTTGTTTCTGGTACTTCATTTATATACTGAATTCAGACGGTTGGGTTTGCTAGCCAGAAGACCCGACCCCACCTGTACTGGTACATCTTAATAAATGCCAATTACTAGATAGTCTACTATCAGATCATTGAAGGAGGCTACATTCGTATTGAGAAAATGGTTCCAAATGAGTATAAACAAAATAAGGCCTCATTCAGAATAGGGGACTAACTAGTCCAGGGTCAAATATGGCCGACCCACTTATATACATGTACTTCCCCACGGGAAATCTATTCAGTGTCTATTAGCGGATTAGACGACAACCTTTGTAGTGGGTCGCCATATTTGACCCTCGACCTAGTTAGAGGCCATTCAGAATGAGAAGAGCCGAGTGCTAGCTAGGCCACGACCTAAATATGGCGGACTTACATGAAAGGTAGAATGCTTAATCCTGTAATGGTTTCTCCGCCTCTCATACGCCTCCCCACGCGTCGTCCCAGCAGGGGCACAGTAATTAAATCTCGGCTCAATTCAACTGGTCGAGGGACGACGCGTGGGGCGCCGTGTGAGAGGCGGAGAGACCATTACAGGATTAAGCGGTAGGACCGCCATATTTAGGCCGCAGCCTAGCTAGCACTCGGCTCTTCTCATTCTGAATGGCCCTTTAGTCCTCTGTGCTGAATGGGGCCAATATGGCAGAACGCTTCCCATCTACAAGGAACAGTGTAGCTCCAGGCTGAGCTCTTTATTTTTATCAATAAAAACGCACAAATCGTGACTCAAACAACACGCACGTCTTCTCCGAAGTGTTCGTCAACTTCCGCCTGCAGTCGGCACTGGACTTCGGGATGTTTTGCCAGCTCGTACGCGGTGTACGTCAGCGCCGTGCTGGTAGTTTCATACCCGGCCAAGATGAACAGATTCGCCTGAGCCTGAATTTCCTGAAAAATAATTAAATTTAACAGAATGTTCAGGCAAGACTGCTTCCGCCGGTAGCTGGATATGCATCGTTTCCTTATATCAGGTGTAAGAGTCGAAAAATTTATTTATTTATTTATTTATTTATTTATTTATAACCATCTTAAGGATGAAAGACATAAAAAAGTACATACATAAAATCGTACACATCATTCACATAATAAGACCGTTCACTTACTCACTATCCGCTTCGTTCCAGTGTGAATAGGTATTATCAACGTGAGTCAGGGAGAACTGTAATCAGTTTATAAAATAATCCGTCTATTTCTAAAATCCTCATGTACCCTAACCCTGCTAATACATACCTCCTCTGACAACCCCTGTCTGTCTGCTATCTTCTTCGTCTTCATCTCTCCGCTGCTTTGGGCCGTGGGTCCAGTCTCTCCATTCATATTAAGACCACTCAGCTCCTCTTGGTCACTGTTACTGACCGCTTGACCGTTGGTGGAATTGATCTGCGTGTCCAGCATTAATTGTAGTAGATCCACACGTCTTTTCTACATAAAAAAAAGTACGCAAACATTAAAACTATGTGACTGTACTACCGTGTAGTGCTAGAGGTGGATTTGTAAATAATAAATGTCACATTTCCGCCCACCAGTCACTCATATCGGTGCCACGCCTAGTTATTCAAGGCAAAATCACCATATTTTACCAAAATTTAAATGCGTTTTATACATGCAATTTTACACAGGACCTTTATATTTTTAGATATAATTAATTACCCACATGTAGATTATGATATAACTTTTTTATCAAACATGGCAGACATTATGGTCTCAAATACCGTAATGCCGTCACTCGTCTTGTCTCAACTACTGCAGTCCAGTCAGTCATCTTGTCTCAACTACCACAATCCCGCCAGTAATCTTATCTCAACTACCGCAATCCAGTCACGCATCTTGTCTCAACTACCGCAATCCAGTCACTCATCTTGTCTCAACTACCACAATCCCGTCACACATCTTGTCTCAACTACTGCAGTCCTGTCACTCACCTTAGGATCGTGAATTGCTTTCCTGGCGGCAATCGCTTCAAACCCAAGGGCCCGCAGCTTGGAGAAGGGGTCCGTTTTGATAAACAAACGAAGGAAAATGAAAAACTTCCACAGAAGCCTGCGAACTTCAGGAAACATGACTGCAAAAAAAAAATCATGTTATTAGAAGACCCATACCATTCCTATCAACGAAAAGTGGCACCCGTAAGTTAACGTGAGTGACACGTGGTCTAGGATCGATTAAGTAGCAAAGGAGCTTTTTGAGAAAATCTAAGCTTTTAAGTCCCCTCATAAGACAACTGCACGTTTGGACGATAGAGGGCCAAAGACGCCCGGCCCGATATCAATAGCTCAACCGTGATTATATGGAACCAATAGTGAGGGCATTTTAATAATTCAAACTGTGACAAATGCTATACAGAAAAAAATAGGCCCTACCCAGCTGAGGAGCTCCACAGAATAGAGTCACGAATAGAGTAAATTAAATCTTATTCTTTTTTGTTTTCTAAATATTGAATAATCAAGTTACTGAGGTCTACGAACGCTATGTATATGTCTTCCTCTGGGCTCTTAATATTAGTTGTGTGTGTGTGTGCGTGCGTGTGTTTGCGCGTGTGTGTATTTATGTGTGTGTGTGTTTATGTACCAGGCATGGCATTTGTAACAAATAAGAAACAATTTGCGTAAATCAAGCCTACATACAGTACATGTTCAGAGAACCGTAATTGTGGTACAGTTTGTGTGGTAGTACCAATATATTATACTAGTTTCCTTATTATCATTTATGCCAACCTACGGAAACTCTACCACCAATAGTTCAGGCCTTACAAACGGATTAAGCGTTTACTAACACTACCTGCAGATCTTTTAGCACTAACACCCATATTAACGACATAACCCACAAGCTTACTAGCACCACCAGAGAGAATGAATGTAAGTGATAGGTATTGTTTGTTGGTGTTAAATAATTGTACGATGCGTTGGTTAATTTGTGGGTTATGTGGTTAATATGAGCGTTAGTGTTAAAAGATCTGCGGGTAGTGTTAGTAAACGTCTAATACGTTTAAAAGACCTGTAGTTGTGGGATATTTTATTATAAAGCCAACTTACACGCTACCAGCACCCTGAGCCGGCCGTTACCAAGGCGGTTGAACAGATCCCTGCACGCAGTGAGGAAGGGGTGGTTTCTATCCTCCACTGAGTTGATGGATAAACCAAAGGCACAGGACGCGATCACCTCCAGCGTCAGTCCCTGAAACTCGCTGAACGTCAAAGATTATTAGCATGATTATTTTTTTTATATAATTAAGCTAGATCCTTGAAATTCGATATACAGACAGGTTAATATCTGAATAAGAATAAACCGTTTGCGTTTTTGAGCTATCTCATTTAGATGTAAAATTATTTTTAGTGACATTATGCCTGTCAATTTTTTTCATTGGGGAGTGTATCGTTGTCAGCAGGTGTATGTCCGCTAAATTCTCAAATTTCCAATCAAAGTTGAACAAACTATATATAAATTTTGTATCCACAACATTCAGCGACACATAATCACTACAAGGCATACCAGTAAAAGGGGGGGGGGGGGGGCATTTGATATTACCTTTGAATATTGAACGGTTTTCCCTCCTCACACCTCTTCTCCAGACATCGAAGCAGTCTCGTCACTGAGTCATTGATTAGTGGTGACATCTGGAGGGAGAATTACATCAGCCGTATCTTGAGGGTTTTGAGACAAGTTTTCTCGAAAGTACTGCCGCAGTATTTCACCTGAAGGCTTGCCCATTATTTGCAAACAAGCAACCAAATAATGCCCCTTCAAATCTACTTCGAATTGGTTTAAAATGTTAGTCATTTTGTTTTTGATATCAAAGGGGCACAATATTCCATTTATCTGGAAAACTGGTGCTCTCTGACAACGGGATCCGCTGGGAGTCTGTTACAAAATTATTGTACACACATATATTTTGTAAAGGCTACCATTTTTGAGACCTTTGATATCACGTATAAGGCACAATGAAGGATTTTAGAAAGTTCCTTTGAGTATTGGATACACTGTATAATAAATGCACAAAATTTCACCAAATTTAACCACTACCGCTGGTGAAACCTTGGATTAAAACGCCTCCTACCTGTTTCATCTTCAGAGCTGAGAACGCCGGGTTTGTGTTCAGACGTAATCTTTTCCATTTGTCCCCCATGGCAATGACCATGTTGACCCCGCGCTCATCATTGGGGTCTGGAGCAATGGGGAACGGCTGGAAAGGCATCAGGGATATTGGAATAATGGTTGATAATATCAGTATTCATAACCAGTTATGTGATACTTTTTTACTACAAAACTACGTTGACCATGTGCAAATGATGATCATAATTGAATCAAGCGTTCCCATACATGTTCACTCATTTCACGATCTCAAGTAGCGTCCTGGCGAAATGTCATTGGCTCGCAATTACAATTACAATAAAAGGCAACCAACAGTGGTTGATGATAACAGTATTCTTTACCAATTATTTGATACTTTTTTATTACAATGCCACTTTGATCATATAAAAATTGTTATCATAATCAAGTATTCTTATACACCCATTTCACGATCTCAAGTAGAGTCCTGGTGAAAATGTCATTTCTTTTCAACCTGTAATCAAAGATCGTCTATACTTTATAGAAAAAAAAAAATTTGGAAAAAAGGTATTTGCACGCTATCACACACACACACACACACACACAACATTATCATCATCCGGGCATTCCAATACTCAGTAGAACGCTGACGTCCGAATATTTACCTTCCGCGCATGAAAATGACTGAATCGCTTGATGAAAACTTCCTTCAGGAAATCCAAGTCCGTGCTGATAAGTATCGGGTTGGGCCCCTCGAAGATACTGCAGAATAAAGAGATAAATATATTTGTATATATACCAGTGCTACAAATAAGGCTGTCCTATAATTTGACTTGGATCAATCAACGTATGCAAGCAGGGAGTTCCAATAAAACTAAATTCAAGTTGTATTTTACAACAATCATAAAGGCGAAAGGAACTCTTGGCATTTGACGTTACGTTATGTTATGTCCAAGAGAAACTTGTATTTCTATTGTTTACTGATCAAACCAAACCCACGTGCCTCACGGCCCGTTCAGACTGAAGACATAATGGACCGAAAGCAGTCCACCTCGCGCCATCAACCCACCAGATTAGACAGCGAGATCCCAATACGTGATTTGCCAATATGTGGTCATGTGATAATCCCAACGGGACCGGCTTAAAAGTACAAAAGTAATATTAGCCCACTAAACACCCCCAAAGATACTCTATCTCTCCCCACACACAACCACACACGCAAGCGCGCGCGCGCGCACGCACGCAACCACCATTTTACTTACCCATAGAACTTTCCATATTTCTTAGTCCACCGCATTGGAGCTTCCATGGGATCCTAGGAATACAAAAATTAAATAAAACAAACTTTTCATGATGTGACAGAATATGGAGCGTTTTAAACATTGATTGCAAATTAAACTAATAGATAACCTTCCTCGGACGAAAAAGTGTTTCTATATAAGTTTCTTTTCTCTCTTCTTGTCTGAGTCTGAATTATTCGATTATTGAACCAATCTTTCTCTCTCTCTCTCTCCCCCTCTCTCTCTCTCTCTCAAATCCTATAATACAAAATGCCCAGAACCCCCCTCCCTCTCTCTCTCTCTCAAATTCTATAATACAATTTGCCTAGTACCCCTTTTCCAAACCCGATCTCGGTGAGGTTCCCGAATGGAATGGAGGGTGTAGGGCCATCTAACCCCATCCGCTTGAAATACTGAAAGGCATGCCTTCTGTGTCTGAAAAACATGGGGCAAAATGCCAGAAAAATATCATTTATATTTAAGAACGTTTATATTCTACACAATTAAACTTCCATCCAGCTTAGGAAATTCCTCTCACACAGACACACATAAACTTTCTCTCTCTCTCTCTCTCTCTCTCTCTCTCTCTCTCACACACACATACACACACACACACACACACACACACACACACACACACACACATACATAGACACGTACGCGCACAGACACACAAACACACACAAGCAAACACACACAAGCAAACACACATTCCACAAACACACACACAAGCACACACGCGCGCACACACGCACACACACAAGCACATAGAGAACCCTGCTCAAGACCTGTAGTAGTAGTAGTAGTAGTAGTAGTAGTAGTAGTAGTAGTAGTAGTAGCACCCTGCTTACCTGTAATAAATCCCAAACAGGACCAGAATCACGGCTACCAAATACGGCCACATCTCGTCTCAGCCTGGAACAGAAATAAACAGCGGTCAGTGTACGTGAACATGCACGCAATAAAGTAGAGAAAAGTCAACGAAAAAGCGAGCTGAGCCAATTACGTTCTTACCGTGCAATACCCTACTTCCAGCTAATATACAGAGTAAATGTGGACCAGTAACTGGTGTTAACGACGTAAAGCAACGTGCGTGAATGCGGTGGTGAAGGTCGTGGAATACTATTGTAAACTATATTGACCTACTTGTACTCAGTGCTATTAATACCACGCGTGCAGTGCTGCCGTACCGATATAGGACCTATACGTGTATATATCGGATATATAACTTGTTTCATAACTCATAGAGGTGGTAGATATCGTGGGCGCTGAATGATCTGACAGGTAAGCTGAGAATTAAAGACGTTACAATTACGTGTCGCTAAATAATTTTAATAGTTTATATATGTACATGTAATAATTGTTAAGCGAGATGTTAGGTTAACATACAGTTGGAGAAAAGCTAAGCTATGAACAGTGCATAGAGATACGGAATACGCAGATGCACATGTAATGTAACTGCAGCTGATTCTCGTAGAATGTCGCTTGTCGCAGAGATCGAGAAACTTTTTAAAATTAAGAGACACCAAAGAGAAGACGTACGTATGTGGCGATCCAATGAAACAAAGCAAAAAAAAAAAAAACTATAAAACCCTGTTACCAGTTTTTTATACCCTGTGACAGGAATTGTGACATTGGTGACATTTGTTTTTACCAACGCCAAGGAGGGTATGTATAGTATTTATTTAATTAAGTAACATGTGATATAGATATACAAATCACCCGGCCTCATGGGCCTACAAGTCACCGACCTTGTACATATCTCAGAAACAATGCCAAAAATAAAAAAAAAAACTATGATTAAGGTTGTGAGTTATAACTAAGCAAACACTATAATTTATGGTACATGAGACTCTTGAACTCTGAAAAGAACTGACCGCCTAAAACTAAAACTGTTATTTAAAGTCAATAATGCTCTCACCGTCTTACGTACTAGTATACATAATAGTAATTTAATAAATAAAAACGTGATACATGTAGCTTATAGCCACGTTCTTTCTGTCTTTGTCGCCAGCGTAACTCAAGAAGTTATGGGTGGATTTTGATGATCTGGTTAGAATAGGTCTGAAATGGGCTTACTTTAAAGTGGCATGATTTTAGCGGTGATCCAATAATAAATTTATTAATTAATTGGTAGCAGCATTATGCAAAATGTTTTGTGGCGGTTTTTGGTTAAGCTTTCAGGATAGGTCAGGAAAGGGATGGATTTTGATGTTGACTTATTAATTTAGTTAAATAATTAATAGATAATTAATAATAATGAGAATTAAGTGCCTTGGCGGTGGCTTGTAGCTGCAGAACGTCTTTCTAATTCTACCTGTTCTCTTGCAAGGAAACTTTATAATATAATGTCATTAACAAAACCAGTTCACCATGATTTACAATAAAATACTTCAAACATTAACATGCATAAATACAATCAATGTGATAATCAGATTATACCGGGTAATCTATATGTTAATGGAGTAGAAGCCCGTCTATGGTCTTGTCAATATCGTTATCAGTAATATGACAATAGCTAACAATTTAGTTTCTCTCCTCGGCTTTCAGTCTGGTCGTCAATGGCGTACTGATAATAATACTGATTTTATTTACGTCTCACTTTTAAAAATAAAACCCAACCTGCTAAGGGTTATGAGAGTCTTGAACCTGTGAAAGCACAGTTAAAATTCATGAGTGTTCTTTAAAATGAATAACCTGTCAATTAAACACAGAAATATTCTATATAAAAGAAATATTCTATATAAAGCTTCGTCTGTATTAGGCTGTATTCCCAGAGCTTTTAGATGGATCTATCCCCGCGGGGAGTCTCAGTAGATTACTGTCAGATAATTCGGCTTAAATGTCCGTCCCGCCTACTACAAACTGTAAGGGGGTATTTAACTTTCGTGTCCGCTCGGCTGACAGCTTTTTAGCGTGAACCCCCAGGGAGTTAGGCCGATCTAAAGTAGATCAATCTAATCTCTGGAAATGGGGTCTAAGATTTACTTCTTCTCCACGTCACTGGTCATTTTGCGAGAGAAACTTAAACTTTTCAGTGTCAATAAATGCCTTAAAATGTTCGCATAGTGTACTGATCGGGTTCAGTGTTCTGGGGCCTAGACAGCATTTTGTTCAAGGACCCCCGCCCACCTATAAACAGTCACTGACACGAATAGAAAGTATGTGCTAGCGTGCAATGGAGCTATAGTGTGTGAACCGTGCCCCAGATTGTGATGAAATGACTGACCGAGATTTTGTGAAACTTGTAGTTAGTGCAGTTAATGACGTCTGCAAATAATGAGAAATTCCAATAGTTAGTTCTTAGTATCGAGCAGAACTTTAAGTCATATAAACAGTCAGCTGCACGGTGCGTTATTTCTGATATGTGTATTTGGAGAACGAACAACAAACAATTAACACTTAAACCATATAAATAAAGGGGACTCAATGATTTTGATGGTGTAAAAAACATTGGATAATATTGGCAGTGATGGTCATGGTGCTGTATAGAAATGGCACCTTTTTTTACACAGAAAGTCCCAGCACTCCAAAGTACAGGTAGCATTTCTTTGGAAAAGAACACTATTTGACCCGAAGTAGGCGAGATGTAGAGCAACAACACATGTTCTCGGGCACAACAACAATAGATTTCATTCACAAAGAATGCGCCAATAATAAACTACGGTAGTAGAAGCCCATTCAAAAACCTGCAGCGTTAATAGTAAGTTTTTCTCTCACTAATTCTTGCATTTTACGTTAACATATATGCGTGAGTATTCGCATACACTGCAGCGCGCTGAGCAGTGTTTATTAATTATATATCATCGTGTGATGGAAGCGTTGTACACAACACTGTAAGAACATACAGGGGTAGGGGCAACATTCGCAGTCGAGGTTGGTGACTTTCCACGGGTGACAGGTGTTATTTGTGGCCCGCTTTGAAAACTGGGGAATCTCAGGTATTTTCTTTTGGATATGTACATAAAAAGTGTGTGCGTGTTTGTGTGTGTGTGTGTGTGTGTGTGTGTGTGCGCGTGCGTACTTGCGTGCATGCGTGTATGTATATACACTGTGTTTGTCTGTCTGTGTGTGTGTGTGTCTGTGTGTGTGTGTGTGTGTTAGAGAGAGAGAAAGAGAGAGAGAGAGAGTGGAAGTACATGGAAAAGGGTACATAAAGAGAGATAACGTGAATGTTTGTTTGTGTGTGTGTGTGTGTGTGNTGTATGATCTATATCTGTTAGTGGCTGAAAAGAGTAATTGGATGAGAGAGAGAGAAAGAGAGAGAGAGAGTGGAAGTACATGGAAAGGGGTACATAAAGAGAGATAACGTGAATGTTTGTGTGTGTGTGTGTGTGTGTGTGAGAGAGAGAGAGAGAGAGAGAGAATAGCAATAGGCATAGCATATGGACGTGCATTTAATGAACATGGAGCAACACGTACAATTAGTAATGTAGATCCATACAAACACAGCTGTACTGTACATCTGCATTCGAGTCTTATCGATCTTCACACTGAGTACGGCAGCCTAGGATACATGCACTGACCAGTTCAATATGTATGTATGTGGCACAGTACACGTGCACGGACTTGTGGAATACATGCAGCATATGCGGCTTTGCCACGTGCTGAGGGTGCTGCTTGAAACAACATGAAATCAAACGTGAAAACAGCAACGCGGAGATAAAACGTGATACCGGTCCACCAAGATACAAATGTATATATGAGTGCTTGCTTATCTGGGATATAACGCTATCGGCAACCACTGGGTTTGAGTCCCAATTTTCAAGATGATTTTAACTGAGAAAATTAAATGAACTCTCCACCAGAGACATTTCTAGCCGTTACAACTTTGGACTGAGGACTTTACAGTACATTAACCTACCGTGCAAGCATAATAACGCCAACACCTCCTCCCCCCTTCCCCCCCCCCCCCCCCCAGTCACCACCCCCTCTCTCTTTATACATCCAGCTTACACGATCAGCGTTTTACAGACCAATTCTAAACGGACACGGTCCATGCGCAGATCACACGAGGTCAAGCACATTTATTAACAATGTCACGTTAACCGTGAATGTACTTGCATATGAACAGGCGAACGTAGAAAATAGTCGACAGAATTAACAAGAATCGGTGCACATCGCCTCTCTTGCTTAACCATTACTGGCTCAGTTCCAATGTAAACAATACTGTTACCAGTATCAATACAGGTACAGGGTACGTATGCCTTACCTGTGGGTGGTGTTCATACGACCTCGAGGACGTGCCTGGTCTTGGCTTGGACGCTAACAAGCGGTGGATACTAGTGAGCATTAGAGATAGAGGGGCTGTAGACGCAGTTGCTGCTGTTGCACTACATCACACCTTATATTACCATAAGATAAGCACGTGCAATGTAAGTATCATCATATCCGATAGCAACACAACAAGACATTAATAGATATATACATGTCTAAGATCACTTACCGAGGACCTAAATTACCTGCACAAGCGCATCTTGCATTGATTGGTAAGCAGTGACACCTAGCGGCTGGCTTAGAGACACAACAGCACGGGTTATACAAGAAACAATGGCAATTTATTAAATTATTCAACATCTTAATGTCTGGGTTGCAGTCAGGTTTAATTGTTCAAATTAATGTTTTTATTCATTTATTGGTTGATTTATTGATTAACTGATTGATTTATTTGACTTGAGTCATTGGTTATTGATTTAAAAACTCTGTTATACACCAAAACTGCCTTTTTTTTACTTCAATGCAAATACAGAGAAATGCTTTCACCGTTTTCAGTATACAGGACCACACGCTCTGTGGAGCATTCAAGTTATAAACATACATAATGAACTTACACATAGTAAGTCAAAAGGTAGTACATCTTGCATAATGAAAAGTTGTCCAAGTGCTCAAGTAAGTTATCCGGCCTTTTATCAAAGCCCAGTTTATGTTGCTTAAGATATTATTTGTAATTTTATAAAAGACGTCTCCTTGGTTAAAGCTCGGCCTTATAAAAAGTAGTCCCTTGCGCCGGTGAAGTACATATAACCCACTATGGAATGTTAGGATACAAGCCCGTAGCCAGGGGGGGTTCGGGGGGTTCAAAAGAACCGCCCCTTTTAGTGGGGAAAAGGTACACTCGGGGTAAAATTTGATCTATGTTCATGAAGTTTTCATGGAAAAAGGTCCACTTTTTCAGAAAAAGAACCCCCCTTTTGAAATTGCTGGCTACGGGCCTGGGATATATATGTTGCGTGGCCCATTTAGCTGAAAGTGCAGAAAGGTCACTATATTACCCTTACCCCGGCGCCCTTTGTGCACTTGCTCCTTGTTGACATTCAGATGAACGTATCCGTCATACAACAACGGCTGTCAATACATTGTATTCTCTCAGCCTCCAGTACATTGTTCATCGCCTACATTGAGACTGCGCCGTGGCTCCAGGCGGCGGCTCTAGAGCGCGTGTCCGTGAACTTAACTTTGAAAGTCCAAAGCAGGTGAGAATACACCTCGCGCTCCTGACGTCATAATGCACGCAGATCTGGAGCGTGTGCTGCGTGCATTTAACACTGAACGCGTATGTTGCGCTTATGCAATTTATTTGTACTCGTGGACGTTTGCCAAAGGTTGAATAGTGCGCGTGTACCTAAGATCGAGGGATCACAAGTAGGGCGGGGTGCAAGTCTTTTACTTTACTGAAACATGCCAAGGACGCAGACACAAATTGCACCCGTTCGAAATTTTTGCGGACATTTTTTAGATTCAGAAAGGGGAACTGCACAGTCGTGCACGTACGCAAAGTTATGAGGTTTTACTGAAGGTTATTCGCTTGTTGCGACGTTGCAGTTTTCTCGTTAGTATTAATGCCAAATGGTTTCAGATTAACTTTTCAGTGTGATAAAAATGATAATGATTTGTAAAAGGTGAGAAGCAAAGTCGTTAATTATGACTGCTGTATCAGGACATGTGCACTATCTGTTTATATTCTCTCTAATTGTGAACACTGCAAAAGCGGATTTCCGCCAGGTGATAAACGCTATACAATTTCCACCTTAGCTTTTTTTCTATTTTCAGATAAAGTCATTGTATTTATGAGAGGTTTGCGGCGTTCATCCGTACCATTTGTAGCCTCGCTGCCTCTATAAAAGCACTGAAACTTGAAGAAGAGCTCACAGCGTTACTTAACTCGACACAAAGTATTATCCCACGGTGACAGGACCACAGCTTTCAGAAGACAGGTAAGTTATCGTGTACTGTGGTGTCTTTTGTCTTCTGTGCAAAAACTAGCGCTTGGTAATGGACAGAAGTTAAAACTTTGTGGCAATGAAACATTGTGTCTACCATACTGATAACGGAGAAGCACTAGTACTGAAATTCGCTTTCTTTCCAATTTTTTCTCTTATTTTGTGTCAGCATTTCTTGGGGTGCTTTCCCAGAGATTTAGATCGATCTAAAGATTAAGTTTTAGATCGACCTAACTCCCTGGGGGTTCAGGCTAAATTGCAGTCAGCCGAGCGGACACCATAGTTAATTACCCCCTTACAGCTTTTAGTAGGTGGGACAGACGCTTAAGCCGGCCAAGCTGACAGTAATCTAGTGAGACTCCCTACAGGGATAGATCGATCTAAAAATCTATGGAAATGGGGTGTTGGATACACTGTTACTTAGATATATTGCACTTGGAGCTGTATTTAAATAGAAAAGATAGCTTTCTATGATCGATGTATGCGTTGGTTGTCATAGAATCTAAGAATCTTAAAAAAACAGCGTTTGCTCTTTATTTATTTAATTTTTAATCACTTTCAAGTGTTAGATCCAGGTTGATGGTGCACTCGTTTACCGTATTTATCAACTTAGCCTTGACTCTCGCCTCCATTACCTTCACCCAGTTTATAGTGTTTATTTAGGGTTATCATGGGAAAACTGCCCTATTCAATTTAGACTAAACTATTCTATTTGGTATGCTGTGTTCAGATGTTGATACAGTGTACAAGGACTGGAATTGGGATACATGTCGGCGTTTGTGTTCCCTGCTGAGACGTGTATAGAGGGAGAGAGAGAGAGAGAGAGAGAGAGACAGAGAGAGAGAGAGAGGGGGGACGACGGAGAGAGAGAGAGAGAGAGAGAGAGAGGGAGACAGAGAGAGAGAGGGGGGCGACGGG